GAGCTTTTTATGGCAAGATGTATAAAATACAGCGAAAAGTGAGCCCAGAAGACACACTGACCGTCAATGTGAAATGTAAAATTTCTGAAAAATATTTTTTTTGGGGGGGGGGGTTAAAAAAAGCTAGTGAAAAACTACAAAAAGTCCCAGCTTGCCATTCGCCCAATCGAGTCCTTCTTTTTTGAAACGTCCCACCAGGGACGTAGTTTTGCAACGATATTTTCTTGTCCACTCTGCCTATTGATTGTTTAAAAATCAAGTGTTCTAGTGAATAACTGCCGATGATACCACTATTACAACTTTGTTCTTTATTGAGATATTTTTGTCTCGAGAAAACGCAAAACAAAACAAACGTGGTCGAAGTTGTCGGGGGAACGTGTACAGTGTAACACCAGAAACGAGCCCGGCTTTCCGCTCGCTCTCCACTCTGTTTTTGTTTTGATATTTACACTTCCCCTCAGTCTTTCCTTCACATTTTATCCGCACAGCATGAGTTGTGAAGGAGACGGTGATGATGCGAGCTCCACTAAACGTAAGGTCGCTTATGTTTTTAGCCAGGAATACATTGAAACCTGTGATTCTTTATCCAAAGTGCCGAACCGGGTGAGTTTGGATCTATGCCCTCCTTTCATTGTGCAATGTTTGGTGATGCAGGTCGATAATAGTTTTGTCCATCTCGTAGGCGAGTATGGTCCACTCGTTGATAGAAGCCTATGGACTCCTAAATCAAATGAGGTTCGTGACATGAAGACAGTTAAGAAAGTGTCAGCTGGCAAACTACCCTTCTGTTCTCTTTGCAGCATTGTGAAGCCGCAGGTGGCCACCATAGAGGAAATGGCCCAATTCCACTCAGATTTCTACCTGGAGCATCTTCATAAAATAAGCCAGGACGGGGACAATGATGACCCACACTCGGTTGACTACGGCCTGGGTGAGAGCCGGCACTATATCGTATATGCAGTATGTCCAGTCACAATGATATTTCTGTCTTTTTATTCTTTACGGTCATGCCTTCATTACCTCCAAGATGCCCACAAGCTCTTTTCGTCTCCTTTCTCCAGCACCATTGGTTAATGTGCATACAGCTTATCTGTGTTGCAGGAAAACAGGACAAGCACTTTGAGAAAATGTGGGATACACTTGAATAAAACATGCATGCACGGACACGCTCGCAATACAACCTGGCTGCCGACTACAAAGGAGTGCCGGATTATTTTTCTTAAGTGGGGTCATATTTACAAACGTGAACAGGCAGTTGTCTTCTGACGGGCAGTGAATTAAGATGTCAAGAAACAGGGACAGCATCGACATGGAGACATTTGGAGAATTGTTATGACTTTTGACACTTCTACCCAGATATCACATCCACTTTCTCAACACGATCCATTCACTCTCCTCCAGGTTACGACTGTCCGATTGTGGAGGGCATATTTGACTACGCAGCAGCAGTAGCGGGCGGTACGCTCACAGCCGCCAAGTGCTTGCTGGATCAGACGTGCCATGTGGCCATCAACTGGACCGGCGGGTGGCACCATGCCAAGAAGTAAGCGTGCGTCGTTTTTCCAAGGCCCGATGTGACCACTCACCGCTCAGCCGCTTCCCTCCTCGTACTCCAGGGATCAAGCGTCGGGCTTCTGCTACGTCAACGATGCCGTTCTGGGAATCCTCAAGCTGAGGGAGAAATACGACCGAGTTCTTTACGTGGACGTGGACCTGCATCACGGCGATGGTACGTACAACTTTTGCGAAAGTTGGATCCATTTGCTCTACTTCTTGTCTCTCTTTTCTCCCCGCAGGTGTGGAGGAAGCCTTCAGCTTCACATCCAAAGTGATGACGGTGTCCTTCCATAAGTTCTCTCCTGGCTTTTTCCCAGGTCATTTACTGATGGCTTTTGTAAATGATATTCAGCTCTTTGGGGACATTTCTGTAATATATGTACACCTCCTGTGCGCGTGCGTGTTTGTGTGTGTAGGTACGGGTGATGTCACCAATATTGGCTTGTGCAAAGGCCGCTGGTACACAGTTAACGTCCCCCTGGAGGACGGCATCCAAGACGACAGATATTACCAAATCTTCAACAGGCAAGTGTCTGCCATGCCAAAAAAATCAAGGATACAAAGATTGCTTCAGTGCCATGGAACTATGTTGAAGTGGAGCTTCATTAAGTCAGCCCATCGTCTTGTCTCATAGTAAAAAAGTGCTTCAGCGCTAACTTTCCTCTCCTTCCACCGCAGCGTCATGCCAGATGTGCGCGCTCACTTCAACCCGGACGCCGTGGTGATGCAACTGGGCGCCGACACCATGGCGGGCGACCCCATGTGCTCCTTTAACATGACGCCACTGGGCGTGGCCAAGTGTCTGCGACACGTGCTGCAGTGGCGCCTGCCGACGCTGCTGCTGGGAGGAGGTGCGTGTTGTGTTACTCCTTACGGGCGTGCGCCTTCTTTGCAGGACGTCAGACTTTTGTCACAAACAAGTGGAAGAACCCGACAAAAAATACACGTCAGTATTGACAACTAAGACCTCCGGTATGTGGAAACACCACATAAATGTCCATAAATGACAATTGAATATGGTAGAAAAACGTAATTGATTTCAGTGCTTTTACTGTATATCAGGTCGGAATTGCAATGACAAAAAGATGTTTCCTGCGTTTAACGCAATTGGATTAGTGAACTTTCCGACCATTATTCGAATGAACTGAGATGTGTGTGAGTGTGACGAGTGGGCGGCTTTATGATATTTGAAAACTGTTATCAACACTAATGTCATTGTCCGTCTCCACTAGGGGGTTACAACCTGGCCAACACGGCCCGCTGCTGGACCCACCTGACAGCAGTGCTTCTGGGACAGAACCTCGCCTCGGAAATACCAGACCACGAGGTAAAATGTCACACACACACACACACACACACACACACACACACACACACACACACACACACACACACACACACACGTGTAGCCTAAACAGATGGAACAGGTGAGAATAAGTCAAAGCAAATGAAATAAGATGAAACAACAAGCATGACTGGGATAGTCCCATATGGGAGTCTTTGAATTTTATTTTCAATTTTCCACTTTCAAACCTCTCTCCTTCCCCTCTTGTCTATTCCTGTCCCAAATCAGCGCTTATGGTCTTTTTTGTTAGTTTTTCACAGAGTACGGCCCCGACTATTCGCTAGAGATCAGTCCAAGCTGCCGACCCGACCGCAATGACGGTAAACACCTTGACCAGGTCGTCGCCACCATCAAACGTACGTAAGAGCAAACGGACGGAACCTTCTTTTTTTTTTTTTTTGCGCAAGTCACCCCATGATGTTGTTAGATGAATGTCACTGGTGGATTAAGTGTTGATTGGTCATGCCTGGAGAGTGTGACTCTCCTCTTTTGTGAGCTGGCTTTGGTAAGTTACACAGGATGATGATGATGATGATAAGTTTGGGGGCTCAAGTATAATTTTAATATTATAAAAAGCCATTTTTAAAACTTGTCTTAAAACTAATTTTTAATCTTTGGATTTTGACTCTGTATGAAACTTGATTTTTAGTTTGACCGTTTTTGTGCTTTCTACTGTCTTTGTTTTTAATTTATTGTTTCATTGTTTGTTGTTGACTGAATTATTGTTGCTCCATGTAGAACACTTTGTTTACAGCGGTGGTTGTTTTAAAGTGCTCTATCAATGCAGCTGAGTTGAACTGAAATACTGTATATTATTTTTATGACATTTTTGGTTGATGGTCACTGAAGAATAAAGTGCATTATTTCATGTTTGCCTTGATGTCGTTTGGCTGATTCTAGATGACAGCTTATTAGCCTCTTTTTTTTTTCCAGGCAATCTGAGGAATGTGGTTTAAGAGGCGTCCACACACTGTGAAGGAGACAATACGGAAAGCATGCGTTAGTCAGCCTTGCGGGAGCGGGATCCAGAAGGATTTTAGGGAACTTTTGGTGGGCTACTACCAGAGGAAGGACTTGATGAGGTTTTGTGCTTGTTGTACAATGTTCACATGTTTGAATGTGTTTCCGGATAGAAGTCGGTACACAGTTCCCTCACTATATCCGCCAGGAGTTGTGAAGGATGATTTCAAGCCGACCTGGAGGTTTACTCTCATGGGAAAAAAAAAGTCACATTTTAAGAAATTTGCACCACTAGTTTTAAATAAGCAATGTCTTCCTTCGGCATTCGCGTCTTTGGAAACTTTTAAAGTTGACTTGGAACATGTATAGTGTGTCTCTTCTACTTTCTACTTGAAGGCACCAACACGACACTCCAGAAGTGAGAACATTTCATTCTACACCGTCTATTTCTAATACTGATTATTAATCATTTATACACCTACAATAAACATCGCCGCAATGATAGACGTTTCAAGGAGTGACTGTAAAGATGATCTTAACTACATTCCAAATAATAAACTGGACACTGAATATCATCTAGAGCCACTATATCTAACAAAAATCAACCAGTATTCTTACTTTTGGTTTAAAAATTTGCACTAGCAATGTGCCATCATAGTTTGGAGTGCTAGAACAAAAATGAAGTGCAACAAAATAAAATCACTTAAAACAATGTATAGTGGATAAAGTTAAATAGTCACCCAAAACAAAATAAACAAATATATAACAAATGCGCTAAAACTAGCTTCATCCGAACATTTTTTGGGGTTGATATTACTCTGCTCTTCATCAATACTACGACAAAAATAATTCATATTCAAAAAAAATATATCGATCTTATCCTCCACGGCTCTGTTGACGGTTGCTTTTGGGGGGCCCCCTAGTGGTCACGGGGTGGCCAGCAGGTGCAACTTAAGTCAGCTTCGACATGCATGAGGCACGCTAATGTCACAACAAATGTGAAAAATCAACAATGGCACGCTTCACCTACATTTTCTTGTAAGGTGTGTGTGTGCGCTTGCGTGTGTGTGTGTTTGAAAGCCAAATACTGTTTCCGGTGAAGGGTGTGGCACGTGCAAGTTTTATCTTTGCTGCACACACACACACACACACGCACACACGAGCGCGCACATCAGCGCTCGTTTGGAAACACTTTTGGTGCGCGTGCACGCGCGAGTCGTCACACATGCGCGGTAGTCGGGCTTCCACGCATACGCGCGCTCCACCTGAGCGTCACCGGCGGTTACCCGGGAGTGAGTTCATTTCCTTGGTGTGGAGGCTCGGTGAGTTGTTCTTGTTTCGTGTTGTTGTGTTGACTTGGTGGCACGTTAGCAAGCAGGCGTCACGGGCGCCACACTCCGCTGACTTTTGTGGCGTTTCTGGGGAGTTTGTGCTCCTTCGACGTTGGTTCGCTCCTTCCGTCAAGGAGCGTCACCTGCGCAAAACACCGGCCGCATGTTGGTTGGTCCGGTATGTTCCAAATGGTCCGATATTTTCCAAATGCACTTAGCCATGGTCGGACCTGGTCTTGGTTGGACTAATATTAGTTGTTCTCTCGAGGCTCTTTATTTATTTTGCTGTGACCAATGTCTAGCACAAAAGAGGCATCTGTCCTTGTTGCCTTGCGAACCCCCCCCCCACCCCCCAGACAAGGGATCGGCCCCTGTTCCAGCATCCTGACTGCGAAAAGGCCAGCTGTTCCCTCACATAGAATGTCAAGTGCAGTCTGTGTGTCCTGATTTAATGCTGCAATCCAATTTTTTGTGCTGCTCTTTCGACTTTGTTCACCCTGAGGCGATAACGCAGTCATGCAGACACTGAAACCGAGAATATATATATTTTTTATTCCTCCTGCAACTTAGCAAGATATTTGACATCTTCACAAACGACAAATAATACGTGCCTGTCAGTATTTTGATGCTGTTTATCTGTCTGCGTGTGCTCAAATCGCCCCACCTATCGCAGTGTTGTTTTGCCATGTTAGCGTTAAGCTAGCTAAGCAGACCTCACAAGGCAAAGCTACCATGTTTGAAACACAAACTGTAATTCAAGTTTTAGGTTTTTGCGTGACAGCTCAGAGTGGCTTGAAACCACTTCAAGTTCCGAAGTGCGATGATTTGAGTTTGCGCTCATATCTCATGTTTGGGCTTGCAAGTCCTAGGGGAAACAAACTCATATGTCGAATTGGTGTGTGACATCACTGAAGGTTTTCTGCTATTGTCTGGCTGCTTAATTGAAACCTCGTGCCCCAAAAACCTCAACACCCGCGCTATCCAATTTCCTTCACTTGCTTCTTCTTCTTCTTTGTTTTTAACCGGTTCTTCTGGGGCTTCTTCTTGTTCTTTAGCCGCTTCTCAATTCGCAATCTTGTCCGTTCTTGTGATCTTGTAAAGCGCTTTTATTCGCGACCCAAATACTGTTCCAAAATCAAAGTATGAACAAACAAAAAAAAAAAATGCACCTAATACCCGGTTGTTGTTCTTGTCAGCTCGCTTATATCAAAGATGCATTGATTGGATACTGGTGAATGCTTGGCCAGGAAAATATCCCAAGATCCATTTCATGCCGCTAACACAGAAATATGTCAATGGAGGGCGGGGGCAGGGGGGCGGTGAGTGAACAAGTACACAGCCATTCCAATTTACAGGTACAAGCGTTTTTAGAAGAATGTTCTCACGTACATTCTTAGGAAGTCCGCACTTCACAAGACCATCCTGTGCATTTTTTCATTTTGAGAAACAGTCTTCTGCTGCTTCTTCTTCTACTTCTTCTGTTTCTTCCCTAAAGTGGACTTCTCTTCAAATCTGCAAGAGTGCGATGTCACGCCCGTTTCAACTCCCCCCTTTTCTCACTCCTTCCCAAGTCTTGACACCCGAAGGTGTTAACGAAGCGGCTTGTTTCTTCTTAGCGCGCGTGTGCACGTGCGTCCCACTTCACATCTAACACCTTGTCAATGGTGTGGAAAATACTGGAGAAACTTCCACATCATTTGTCACCTTGTGTAAGTCGGCCCTCATTTATGTGTGTGTGTGACAGGTCAGATGAATTTGTAGTGTCAATATTTGCCCACATTGCGTCCACAGAGGTGTGCGAGCGCCAGTGCTGTAAAGCAGATTTGATGTATCACGTTGACGTTCCGGCGCGGTGTTAAGTTCCTGCCGTGAATGCAAGTGGACGCCGTGTTCTGACGGACCAGAACAATCCTGTTAAACAAGCTCTCTCCTCATTACCCCCCACCCCACCCACCCTCCACCCCTTGTCCCCTTTCTCTTTCAGATTCCACTTGTCCAATTCGGCTCCCAGCTGCGTTCATTCATCGCGCGCACGTCGGAACCACCGAGAGAATCGGAGGCAGAATCTCCTTGAGGGTCCATTCGACTGATCTGGCCTGGCCTCGCCATTCAGGTCAGTGCTGACTTCTGTGGGAACGTGAAGCAAAAGGTTGTTTGAACGGATGGATCGTAATGAGGGAAGCGGAGAGGCACCAAGCACTCATGTTATTGTATGTTTGGAAATTGGCATGGGATGATGTCATCGGGGCTTGAAGTCGCCTCCACGAGGCGCCTCATCAAAAGCCCTCAACTTACATGCAGCCACTGTCATGTTGTCGTCACGCAAACAAAGCCTCGTTGTTGATGAGTCGTTACCACGGCGATTGGGAGCTTTCGGAGCGGTTGCCATGGTAGCGCGCGGCATCTGCACAACAGACCCTTAAAATAGCTTACTGAAACCCACCGGACGTTCTTACGCTCTGCTGGGTTTTTGTGTTGGCGTCACGTTGGAGTGACCCCACTTACCAGCCGTCTTTCAGATGATTTTTTTTGTTTTTGGAAAGCGTCGGCCTCATTCGAAAGACTTTTCAAATGAAAAGTTTTCCCCGCAGACACACAACAAACGTCAGCGCTTGATTCAGCGGCAAACGTTTGTGTTTCGACCACGTCAACTGGTGATCTGTCAGACGACACAAAGCTGTGTTTTTTGGGGGTTTTTTTTCCCCCCCAAAGCATTCTTATACCCACAAGCTCACCAATCGAAAGTGTATCTCGCGACTCATGAATAACTACCCCACTGGTGTCAAATTCAAGGCCCGGGGGCCAGATCTGGCCCGCCACCTCATTTTATGTGGCCCGCGAAAGCAGATCAAACATGTCAACTTCCATGATCCTTTCTAAAATGTCTACCAAAATTTTAAATTCTCACATGTAATAAATAAGAGATATATTCTAAGCATTTTCTTCTTACCAAACCCCTCATGATAGTAAGTTCAATAATAGTTAAGTCAACAGTTATTCTTGACTTCTTTATATGGATTCAGTCATAATGGCCCTCCGAGTGAAACGGTAATTAAAATGTGGCCCGCGACAAAAATGAGTTTGACGAGTCGTACACGAGTCGTACGCAAGCATACGACATCACCAAGTTAGAAGATGGAGAAGTTCATGCTCATCCCTCACTTATAGTGGTCGCAAAAGACCTGAGAGCAACCGGCTCCGAACCGAAAATGAGCGTTCCAATTCGATAAAATAAGCAAACAGCTTTGTCGTAAGAACAGGCTTGAAAACAGACAATGAGTTTTGAAGAGCTACTCACATTTACTGGAAGGGAATTAATATCATTTGAATTTTCTGTCACATCGCGTAGCCCTCAGTCACTGTTGAAAGCAGTTAAAGTTGTGCCTCCTGCTATTTGAGGCTTTCCACAATTAGTCAAACATATGATTAAAAATGACCTTTGGCACGATGGGCTACTTTCTGTTGAAATACGAGTTCTTTTGGCGGCTATCTTTCTAATCCGGAAGTAAGACGCCCGGCTGACTAAATTGCCGGCTCTCTCCCATGTGGTTGACACGTCGCTTTCATACCTCGTCCTAAAGCCGGCTGCCGCGCGCACCACCCCGCCAAACAGGAAATAGTAATTGCGCTAAATTGTGGAGCCTTACGTCCTCAGTCACAGTCAAGTGGCAATCTTGTTACAGCATTGATGTATTATTGTTCACCCATGCATATGGTAATGTGCGTAACAAGTACGATTTATTTATTTTTTTAATACCTGTATGAATGCTAATATGTCATCATTTAGCTAGCAATCCACTGAGAAATGACAATCAGACCAACTGCATGGTCTGTCGCAGAGGATGCCGGCGCCGAGGATGCGGTGGCCTCTCACAGTGCCTCCTTAGCGGATACGCTTGTCCGGCATCTTGCTGTCTGTCCTCTCCGACACGTGACGAAAATCTTTTTTTGGGGGAGTGGGGTGGGGTGGGGACTATGTAGAGAGGATCTTTCATTTATGATTTGAAGAAAATCGTGAGTGAAATCGCAGTATCTGTCAGAAAAAAACATTGCAATTCAATCTTTTCCGAAATTCGTTACGCTCACATCCTAGCCTTAGCGCGGTTCGATTGAACCCCAGGGGTTCGGTGAGTCGGTCTCAGGGGTTTGACGGAGCCTCTGCCATGGAGGGTAAGACACACGTGAGTCTACATGTTAGTTATGACATGCCCGCTTGGCCATCACTGGCTGTAGATGATCACATGACATTGCTTGTCCAATCAGTGGTGTGGGAAATTTAGTTCGCTTCGTAGTCAACGTGTGACTGTCGTGATAGTACGTCGTTCAATTAAAAAAAAAAAAAAAAAAACGTATTCTTTGAAATTTGATTAACTTTTTTTCTGTTTTTAATAAATGCGTTTTTTAATATCTTGAATTTGTAACAAAAAAAACCCATTTATTTTTCACTCATGAACGGTTCGGTGAATGTGCATATTAACTGGTTGGGTTCGATATCTCCAAAAAGGTTTAGAACCACTGCCTTAGCGTCATTAGTACTGTATACCGTTGATGTGAGGGAGAGCAGCAGCGGGACGATGAAGACATAAAAGAGCTCTTTGCATGCGACGCCAAGAAAAACCAGACGGGCAGGTTTCAGTACACACAAGTACACCAAAGTCAGCTTTAACATGAAGTTGCAAATGACATCAGTGTGGGGCACACGCGCACACGCAGTTCAAATTTCAAGATGCTGACATGCTACATGTGGTTCGTGCTGTGTGTGGAGGCGTTTAATTTGAAGACGGGGGCGCTGCTCAACAGCAACATCTTTTTGCTTTACTTCCTCATTTGTACAAACATACAGTTAAGAAAGCATGGCGAGAGGCGGCATTAACCCGTTGTGTTTTCTGGACGCAGCGAGATGATTGGGCATCACTCGTCGGCGGGGGCCTCCCTCCACCATGCCCGCCCATGACCTCAGTGAGGCAGCTCCCGTCCGTCAGCCCCCGGGAGGCACGCGATGGATGGCGTCTTGCCGGGCAATGAGGACAAGATGGCGAACAGAATTCCGCCACCTCCGCCTCCCCCTCCTCCCCCTCCTCCTCCTCCGCCACCGCCTCCCCCTTCACTTGGAGGCCTGAAGCACAACAAGAGGGTGAGAAGTTTCTTCTGGAAGACAATCCCGGAGGAGCAGGTACACAAGGAAGCGTAACCCGTCTGGCCACTTCATGCGGTTCACGTGATTGTGACATTTACATGTGCGCCGGCAGGTGCGAGGGCGCGCCAACCTGTGGACGCAGGACCAGGCGCGGCAGCGCTACCGAATTGACGCCAACACGGTCGAAGAACTCTTTGGTCAGAAGGAGGGGCTGGATGGCGGCAGACTCGCGAGGGGAGGAAGCGGCAGATCCTCACTGCGTGATGCAAAGAACCAGGTGGGAGACGACGACGCGGATGGTGACGCAGATGATGATGATGATGATGATGAGTGACGAAAACAGCAGCAGTTATGATGACAACAGTGATGACATTGAAAACAACAACAGTGGTGACAGCGATTTTGGCCAAAGTGTCAACGAGCCAACAATAGTGTTAAGAGCAGCGACGAGGACAAATTTGTCTCGCCAACAATGATGACGATGTCGATCTGTCGCCCCACAGGTCTCCATCTTGGACACCAAGCGAGGCATGAACGTGGGCATCTTTCTCAAACAGTTCAAGAGGTAAAAGATGACAAGGCGCCCTCATGACCCCAAGGTGTTGTTTGTGGGTAAAACACATGGCGCCATGCCGGTTACGCGTCTGTGAGCGTC